ACAGGCAAAGTTGGGTGGCTACAGGATCTTGGGTTTGTTCTTGGGGTTGTAAGCTAGTAAGTAGAATGTTCTTAACAAAGAGGGAGTGTGTGACAGCAAGTGGTGCCTTTTTGGGGAGAGGATCCAAAAGATGGGACAGACTGGTTGTCAGCATCACAGCAGTGGTGTCCCCATTCTAGGGAGCTAGATGGTAGGCCCTGGAGCTCAGGACATAGCTTCAGCCCCTTCCTCCTTCCTCCTGCTTCTTCAAGGCCTGCAGCAACTAGCTGGGTGTTTTCCACTTGTTAGGCACTTTCCCTTACTTTTGTAGCCTGAATTTACAGGTACAGCAGCTGTAGGAGAGGAAGGGATGAGAGAGGAACTTGGCACAGGGGCAGGGAGCTATAATCCAGGGCTGGTGTCACATGTGTGGTTGGCTGCAGCCCTGAACTTCCCAGAGAGCTCTGAGAATTCTAAGAAATGCACTGAAAAGAGAACTTCTAAGCCTGTGCTTTGTATATGGCTTTTTTTAAGGGCTTCAAAGGAATGTGATCCTGAGGCTAACTGAGCCAACAACACCAAGGACAAGGTCATCCTGGCTGAAACCGCTGCCGTGGACTCTCGTCCCACCTTTCAATTTTGTGATGAATGCAAAATGTATGCAGATTATGATGCCCTACCATCTTGCTTTTGTGACATAAATGAGGGATTCTGATGTGGCCATGGGGGACACAAAAATCTTCATGAGCAATGTTTCTCTTAGAAGACTGTTTTGTTATTCAAATAAGTTATATAATTTTATTCTATACTATATACTGTAAGATGTTATTTCACATACATTTGAATAAATATGTAATATTGAAATGATCCACTCTTTAGTATTTTTTCTTAGTTATACATATCATATATATGTATGATATGCCTACTTTGAGACTTGGGGAAATAGCTTGTAATATTTTATGGCAATAGAAGCTAAAGAAATAAGGTAGAATATAAAGAGCAGCCAGCACTTTTCCAACCCCAGAAAGAAACCATACATTGACCTCAGGGCATTTTCAAGTTCAGCATCTGCTAAAGGTGCCACACTGGAGGAGTGTGCTCAGCGATCCTAAAGGGTTCCCATCTCACCCATTTCCTGTATTAGAGTCAGTGATGTCATATATCCTGACTAGGACACTATTCATCAGGACAGTGAGGACAGCTAGGCGGGACATCTCTGGGTATAAGTTGTCTGACCCGTGTAATTATGGGATGGAGCTTAGAGGCCTCAGAAGGACAAGTAGAAAACCTGAGAGTGGCCTAGCTGGCTTCCCCCATGTTCAGTGGCAAGTGCCCTCATCCAGAGATGACTTTCACATCAAAGTGCTGATTCAGCCCTCAGTGTTCTCAACTGTAGCAGGAAACTCTAGCCCAAGGCCAAAGCCTAGACTCCCTTTACCAAAGCACAGGAATGTGCCTCCACCACTTCTCCTTCTGCTGAACCCCTAGAACAGCTGTGGCAAACCTATGGCACATGTAGTATTGTGTTTTCTTTTTAAAATAAATGATGTTAATGTAGAGTTATTTTTTCTAAGTGAAAACTTCAGTATTCAGGTTTAATTGCAGCTCTGGCATTTTGCAATTAATAAGTGGGTTTTGGGTTGCAGTTTGGCATTCAGTCTCTAAAAGGTTAGCCATCGCTGCCCTAGGTCTCTTAAGTGCAGATGTACCACCTGTAATCACGGTATACTTCCTCTTTAACAAAACCCTCACTGATGAGGATCACAGATATGCTTCATCTAAAGAACCATTAATTAGCTAGTTACAGGAGATCACCTACTAAACAGGGATAACAAAGGAACAGAAGAATAGGAAATGAAAGAAGCCACAGCTGCATCTAAGCCACAGGGGGGTGTGTGGTATTGAGCTCTAGAAGAGGGCTTTGGGGTGGCTGAGTTTAGTCCAGTGGGTCAAGATGTCAGTGTTCGATAAAAGTGGGTGGGGCCTCACTGCCCTGCAGGATCTATCCTTGGATAGCTGAGCAGCTCCCTGGAGGCTGACACCCGCAGCCCCAGCAGGCTTTGGAAGCTAAATCAGGACTCTTCCCTGGAGGCTACTCTGAAACTCTAGCTGAAAATGACATGTCCATTTTCAGTTTCCAGCTGACTGTCCCCATTCCTCACCTGGCTTTGCTTTTCTCTTGTCACCACAAACTCTAAGCAGAGGGAGCATGAGGTCCCTTCTGACCTCATACAGTGGGCACTTGAATGTTAGCTCAGCCCCAGGAAGCCAGTGGCAGTGTGGTCCTGCATTGGCCTGGTCCAGGAATTGCAGGGAAAATGAGGCAGGTGGAACGAGAGGTCTCTGGGACACCCTTTGGTGGGCAGGAAGCCAGAGCCCCTGCAGCAGCTTTAGAGCCCCATGCATGCAGTTCACCTGCCAACTCTGCCTTCACTCAAGGAAGTTCCTTGACCTCACACAGCCTCCTTTATTTTTAGGTATGTAGGGGCTTGCACAAGTAACTGAGTGGATCAACTAGAGATGGTCTGGTTACCTGATAGGACTCGATAATTTGTGACCACTGGCCTGAAATTGGCTTTTTTCCTTTCTAGATCCCACGCTTGCTTCCTATTTTTGCCAGACAGCCTCTGGGAGTGACCACAAGATTCTCATATGTTGTCATTAACTGTGATGTGTCAACTTGGGTAAGAACTGCATAGGAGATTTGTAAAGGTTTGTGTGTGTTTGTGGATGACTGAGGTGTAGCCTATCAAACTAAGGTGGAGAGACTCATCCTGGAAAGAAGAGAAAGTCTGCCCTTTTTTCTTCAGAGGAGTTCTGGTCACCATTGCCTTTGAACATTAATCTCTATTTCCCTCAGGCTTCCAGAGCAGACTCTCCAGCCTTCCTACACAGATCCTCAGATTTCTGACTTAGAATCTTCCTGGACTCATTAATGACCTTCAGGCCTTTGACTTTCAACTGAGTCCCTGGCCTTTCAGCAGGCAGATGGCCATTTTTCATTCTTACACTTCTGATTTGCCAGATGGCCACTGGGAATCTTTGACTTCTTTTTTTTTTTTTTTTTTTGAGTGTTAATTAAGTTTATTTACCTTTTTCCAAACATATACAATATTAAATATAAGCTAAAAGCAATATATAGTTCTTAGAAAATACTACCCAATGGCCCCATTCATTGTCTGAGATTCGTGATTATAATGTGCTCAGCCTTTGTTCTTCCAGAATGTTAGTGAACGTGTTGCTCAAAACAAGCATAGAGTCACAGGAAACCTCCCCTAAATAAATTTTGTTATTATAAAACAAATCCAAAGAGAGGCCTCTAATGTCTTCATTCAGGTATCTGGAATTTCAAAATGGAAATAATTACTGAAGGAGCAAGCAGTGCTGTCCTATCTAACACTAGCAAGGAAAGGCAACTTTGGGCTGAAACTCTAAACACAGCGCCATGCAAGGGCTTGTTATCAAGCACACTTGCCCTGAATAACTCCCATTCATTTTGTTGCACAAAGACCCACTTCAAGAGCAAGTATTTTTAAACGACCAAGTCACAATTTTAGGATCACCTATTTTTAATAGGAACTGATCATAGACCTCACAGGAAGGACCTTCTATGGGTCTGGCATTGGCAGAATGAAACAGCACCAGCTTCACCCAGTTAAACATACAACACATGAACTACTCATCCCCAAAGCAGTCAACTCACCCAGAAGTTTGGCTTCACTTCCAAAAAGTGCTTTGCTTCTCACCCTCTTTGCCAGTAACACTTTAGGATATTGTAAGCACCAAGAACTCTAACATTCCATTTACAAAGTTTATGCCCACTACAGCAGTCACTTTAAAGGGATAGGGAAAGATGCTACAGGTGTTTTCTTGGGAAAATTATACAGGATTCTTTATTTGAAGTTAAGGCTACCAATATCCAAACAACCACTTTGCTTGCTCTCTTCTTGCAACTTTAGTTCGGGTCCCACAACCTAAGTGTACAGTCCTTTTGAGTTGCCAGCAACTGACGATGAAACACAAAGATACTATATATGAAATGAACATGTGCACTGTGTGCAAGTCAGATAACCTACAATCAATTATACCTTCAGCTCACTTTAAAAAAGAATAAAAGCTGGACACGGTGATACAGGCCTGTAATCCCAGCTAATATAGCGCCTCAGGCAGGAGGATCATGAGTTCAATGCTAGCTCCAACTTAGCAAGACCCTATCTTAAATAAAAAGTATGAAAGGCTGAGGATATATCTTAGTTGTAGACTGCTTGACTAGCATATCCAAGGCCCTTGGTTCAATCCCAGACACCATCACCAAAAAAAAAAAAAAAGAAGGCATGAAAGCATTCAGGAATTTTATGGGGTAAGTGAGCAAACAACCAGGAGTGACATATTCAGACACCTTCTGTACAAGAGTAGTTAGAAGAATAGATTCATATTTTCTTCCTAATCCCTCAGGTCCTATAGAGTGCTAGACATTACTTTAATATTCTATTTCTAATTTTCAGTTAAAAGTAACTCCAAAAAACAAAAAATATGTTTAGGACAAATTGTTGTAATTAAAAACTTAAAAATTTACAAAGATTTGTGTAGCATTTTAAAAATTTCACTTGATTCTCAAATATTTTTAGACATTTTCCAACATGAAAGGTAATTTTGAACTATCTCACTATCTTGCATTTTGTCCCAAGAATTAGAAACATGATTAAAACCACAGTAGTTCTTAGAGTAAAAAAGGTATGACCATAAAAATCATTAGAACTTTAAAAATTTCACAGAAAATTTTAAGTATGAAAGGATAATTGCCAGTCTTTTTTAAAAGGGGGAAAAGAAATCTTAAGCATTAAGCACTTGAACATAGGAGGGGGATTCATAACTAATACATACTTATTTGTTTTGGGGTACATTAAAAATTCTTCAAAAATTGTGTTCATTTTTCCTCTACTTAAAAAAAAGGGAGGGTGATGCACAATATTCTCTTCTAGATCCACCTCCTCCGTTTGGAGTTTTCAGTGTTAAGCACAAACAGAAGTCTGTTTTCTAAGCTAGTGAGAAAGTCCAACTGTTCACAATCTGGTAGGGTTGGGCGGCCCACCTGTGAGGGCTTCAGCACTCCCAACCCGTCAGACACTGTCACATGTGGCTCATCCACAATGGATGGTAAGATGACCTGCGAGACATGGCTTTACAGGAAGTTTTCACAAAACAGCCTAACCGTCGTCACAGGTGCCACACTCACATGATCTTTGCGTACCTGCAGTGTGCAGACTTACGAGGGCTAGCACCACAATCCACCAGAATTATGAGCAAGGTCGTATTGGACAGCATGTAGAATTTTCTCATTAAATCTACATCTCAATGACTAAAACTCTCTACACAAAGGGACTATGCAAAAATTCACAAATATTTTAAAGGGTTTTTTTCTTAAACCCTGACAATCTTTCAGTATGCATTGTTAAAGCTCAATAGTTACAAGGTGACAACGTGACAGTTTTATGCGAAATGTAACCAGCTTGTGTTCTGAAAATTAGCATACTTCAAAGTCTCAGAGTAAAAATATGAAGAATAAGCTCAACCTCATGCCTAACACCTAGTTTTCATCCACATGTCTTCAGACGCTAAGTGGGCACAAGCATGGTACACCTTTCTGATCTTGAAAGAACTTAGCACAAATTCTTCTAGGAGATGTTCTTGGGCAGGACGGAGAACACTCCCATTTGACGAGAAACCAGTCTTTTTCTAAAACCATTTTTCTACCCAAAAAGCAGCTATACTAAAGGGAAGAAGCACTATTTACACATTGTACCACTCTCTCGTTAAGGTTTAGCTAAGATCTACCAGCCAGGAATCAAATAGTAATGTATTCAACCTAAAGTATGAATATTGTACATCATCAAGACTTTGTTGAGTTCTTCAGAAGAAAAAGTAGAGACAGCAAGGGGATGGGGTGGGGGTGGGCAACATCCCTAATGGGTGTCTTACTCTTGCACCCCCTCCATGGACCAAACAATCTCAGTGCATTACATATAACTTCAGATTTTGTTTGTTTGTTTGTTTTTGGTACCGGGAATCGAACTCGGGTCCTTGCGCTTGCTCAGAAGGCGGTGAAACCACTGAGCTAAATCCCCATCCCTATAACTTCAGATTTTAAGCTCCCAATGTCATGGCCAGCTGTTAACAGAAGAGGCAAAAGTCCACAGCAGGTGCATGTCAAAAGACCAGACTGTACCTTGTGTGTGCTAAAAAAAAAAAATCTTGCAATTAAGAAACTGTGACACTCTTTGACTCAAAAAAAGCTTCATTACTACTCTACACACAGATTGCACTGCCACTCACTTATTGGAATGTATCTGAACTATTACACTATTAAGTGCCTAGATGATAATGTAAAGAGAATAAGGGATCCTCACCCAGCCCAGATAATTTTTAAGTATCACAATCTACATGCAAGTGATGTGAACTAAAATACAAGTTTGACTTCTCAGGATCTACCGAAGTTCCAGTTTCATTACAAATTCTTTGTTACTTTTTTGCAAAGAAAAGTACATTGAAGTAAGTAAAAATGAGTCTTATGTTGGAGGATGGAATGATCTTACTACCATGGCATCTGAAGTCACTGGGAACAGGATGATAACGGGCTCCACCTTCCTTGTAGAGGACATGGGATGGTAAGCATCTGTAGCCAATTAAAGGCATTTGGTGTCAGTATATTAAAAGATGAAGATGCTTTAAAACAAAACTCTTCCAAGAATATCAGAGGTTTCGGGACTTGTCTTCATAAATAACTACATGTCTATGGCTTCAATTGTCTGCCCTACTGCTGAGGTAGGTGACCAATATTCATCAAAACAAAATAATCTTTGAAAATTCCCAAAGAAAAGCCTTGCATAACCAGTTGGTTTCTTCAACCTATGTCCACTCTGGTTTAATAGTTTTCGTCTTGTCTTCTTATCTATGCCCTGGCCGAGTAGCATCGCATGTACTCAGTCACCCAAGGGTTGTCTGCCGAAGACCCTGTGGAGGCCTTGATCTTTCTGTGCTTCTCCACATCCACTAGTGGGCTCGGGGCCGCTGTGCAGCCAGTCTCCGTCTCTCCACCTGTCTTCTGCTCTTGGCTCGTAATGCTGACTCATGAATCTCGTGCACAGAGGCAGATGCACAGACACTGTGGGTCTTCTGGCTCCCAGTGTCTGTCTGTCTTT